GGGTCTGGAGTGGGTACATGTGGAGTGACAGCGGCTCTGGGGCCTTGGGTATGGGCAAGCCCGCAGCAGAGGTGGCGCTCATGTCTGAGCCGGGGTGAGGACTTGGAGCCTGGGTCTCGGGCACATGCAGAGTTAGGGGTGGGGATGGGGCTGGGAGTCACGGGCCGCACAACATGGTTCCTTATTGGGGGAATGGTGGCAGGGACGGTAATAGCAGCGTCTCCTCCTCAGGGTGTACGTGACCCAGGCTGTAGTTTCACCTCAGGCGAGAGCTGTCAGTGTCCTCTGCGGAGCAGGCGGCTGTGATCCGCGAGGATGAGCACCGAGGGACCCCGGCTGGGAAAGCTGCGGCCAGTCGGGGCTGCTTGGGGGCTGTCGAGGTCTCCAGCAGTAAAGTCTGAGGGTCCTGTGCAGATCAGGCCATCACGGACTGCAGTGGTGCAGCCTCCTGGCTGATACTGAGCCTCTGCCCTTCTTCTCTGTTCCTAGATGTCCCAGGACATCTCAGGTCCACGGATCTCCCAGCCATCCTTTCTGTGTGGATATTCTTGGCTTTTCCATGCCCTGTGTGGCTGCAGGTTCTTAACTGGACTCTTGAGCCCTCCCAGGACCATTTTCCTTCTTGGAAAGCTGTGCTATTTTATTTTGTGAGGGGAGGAAGCCTGGAGTCCCCTACTCTGCCATCTTCATGACATCACTCCCCCAGGACATAGTTTTGATGATAAGATCTTGGTATTTGACCTGACAGTATGGTGGAATAGTACTTGAGCATGTTGGAGTGAAAATCAGAGTATTTAGCATGTGGGAAGCAGGTGAATTGCTTAGGCCAGATGGTGGACCCAGGCCAATTGCATCCCACTCCACCCCCATCTCACCCTTTGCATCTCTTCTTTTTTGCTTTTGCTTAAATTTATCCTTTATAACAAACCAGCAAATGTAAAAAAGAAAATAATGATAAGAAAATAAAAAGGGTAGAAATTTTAGAAATCTTGAATTTAATCTAAATAATTTGGAAATTTATTTATAAATGCAAAGCAATTGTATAGGGATGATTCTTCAAATGCAAGGTATGTAATATAATACAATTTAATTATAATAAAAAAATCTACATAAAAAAGACAATATTATCCATGCACAATATAAAGCAGAGTAGGAA